CCCCCCCCCGGTTGGGCGAGAAAATGACGGGTCGCCCTTTGTGAAACGGGAAACAAGGGAGGGGAACACAATGGGGAGATCTTCCCTATGCTTCCCCCCTCCCCCGTGTCCTGCCCTAAACACGCACGCGCAGGCACACGCAGGCACAGACACACCGCGAGAGCGTCTCCCTCATCCCCAGCCCAGTTGGGCAGATCGTGTCGCAATCTGCTCGCGGAGGGGGCTTCCCACTGGCGTGTTCACCCCCGATAACGATCTCGCCTTGTCCGCGCCCGAAGGCCACCCCGACATCCAAGGCCCTCCTGATTGTCTTACTTCATGGATCCGCCGAGACCTGGCGGTGGGGGGGGGGGCTGGGCGGGAAGCGGGGTGTGTGTAAGCCCAACAACCCCGACAGTCCAAGGGGCTAGCCCCCAGGAAGGACGAGATCGGCGGCGGCCAGTGTGCGCGTGTTGTCACAAGGGGGGGGGGGGGGGGGCATTCACATGCAACCCCGCGCCGGCGGGGACCACCGCAAGGCACACGCCCACCAGGAGAAACAGGTCCGTGAACGGCCGGCTCGCCGGGCGAGGGAGGTCCCCCTGGCTCCCCCGCCGCCGGACTGGGGAGGTGCCACGTCTGACAGGGCAGGGGGCCCCTCTCCCCGCCCCGGCCCCCGCGCCCCGGGTGGGCAAGGATGGGAGGAAACAACGGGCGGGCTCCACAACAGAAGGCGGAGTGGCAGGTCCTGCCAAAAATTGTAGAACCATGTCGGCCGGACGCCGGGCGATCCCGTGCAGTAGCGTGATCCTCGCTCCTTGATCTGGGGCGGTAGATCCAATTGTTTGGAGCTGCTGCCAATGGTGCTCCGGGGAACGTGAGGGGCGCGCGACCGGTCGTGTGTCGCTCCCTCCCCAGATAGAGGGGAGCTCGAAAGGGGGGCGGGTCAGCGGTCGGGGCGGTGCAGGGGTGGCGCGGGGGCGGGGTCCACAACGTGCGAGGCCCTGGGCCGATCACTATCATCCACCCTGCTCAGGTCCGAGGCCCGCCAAAGGGGTCGACTGAGTGTCGCGACCCATGTATGCTTCCGGTGACACCCCCCCCCTCATCGTCACTTTGTCCGGTTGCGGTGCCGGGTCTGCCAGTGCACGGAGACCGTGCCCAGCCGAGCGCGAGTCCCTGTGCGGGGGGAATTGACCCGGCTCGGCGCCGCCCCCTCTGTGAGAGAAGGAGGGAGGGGGAGAGAGAGAGAGGGACCATTGGTAGTTGGCCTCTGGACGCCGCTCCTGCCGGGGGACGGCGGGAGGGGGGACGCGTGTTGACGCGCGGACCACGGCCCCCTCGGCCTGTGCGGAGCAGGCTCTCCCGGAAGCAACGCGATCTGAGACGCGCGGGGGTGCCAGCTGCCACCGGAGGAGGGGGAGACTCTGCGTGCACGTTCCTCCGCGAAAGGGGGATGGGTGTGCGTCCCGAGCGAGAACGGGGGGGGGGGGGGGGGGGGTAGGGGCCTCCGGGACTTTCTGCTGGAGCGGCTCCAGGTGCGCACGAAGTGGCGTTGCTTGAATGTGGGTATAATTCCATTAACTGTTGTGCCCCGGCCCCCTCAGCGCCTTGCCGCTCTCGAGGACGGAGGGGGGGCCGTTCAGGCAAAGTGGCCTTGTGGCCAGGAAGATAGGAGGGGCTCCCTGGACGGCAAAAAAAAACGCGAGGCCCTGCAACATTCTCCCGGGGGAAGTGGCGGCGGGGGTCTCTCGGGGCCCTGTGATGATCAGCAGGAAAGGCTCCTTTAACTATTTTCTAGTGAGGCACGGAGCGCGCAGGGGCTCGAGCGCTCTCTAATGATCCGCACAAGCCGGACACCGGGACAGGCACCGTTAGCACGCTCGCCACGCCGGATCCGTCCTTCGGCAATGAGAGGGGGGGGGTGTAAACCGGCCGCCACAAGGAGCAGCAGATATGTCCCGGCTGGCAACGCATGCGCCCGGCCCGGTCCGGCCCGGCCATCCCCCCCTGCGTCGGTGTCCCCTTTGCCCCCCCCCCCCCCC